GGTAATGTTTGACACTGCATTAGCTCATTAAATTAAATTACAGGCAGATTGCTTTTTTTTTTTTAATGCAATATCAAAGGTGAATTAAGAAATTTTTACTGCATTTCTGGGAGAGTTATTTCAGGTTGATTGCTGTATGTGCTGTTTGGAAATTGTTTGTGTATTGTAGGTGTGTATGTAATTTTACAGCTATGCCAACATATTTTATATTAAAGCTCTATATCCAAATTACAGCTATATAATTTAATGGGCTATTCTTTTTCTTCTTATTGCATCTCCAGCCATGCATCCAATGCATGCAAAGCGATTTCTTGGCTTATGAGACTTTAAACCGTTAGACCACCAAAGAGCTGCAAATTAAATGCAGTGCAAATAATGACAGCGTTCATGCTAACATATCAAACCAGAAAGAAAATTGCACAGCTTCTCAAATACCAAACTTTGGGGTTGATTCATTCAGTGGGTCTGTGACCTGACAAGGCAGTATGATTAATTGCACACGTATTCCCTCGGAGATTTTCCCGCTCATGCTTTCTGCAGCGAAGATTGTTAGCTTGACAGATCAGCGTACCAACCTCTTAAGATGCCAGAAAGAGAAGGGGTTGGTTTCTGATTGAAAGTTAATGGAGGAATAGCAGCTGCTCCATGCTGAGAAAAAAAAAAGCAGCTTTTGATTCTCGGAGAAATCACACACAGAAATAAGCTGATTTTTCGATAACTCCGGCTATAGGATTTCTGTCAGGGACTGCAAGAAAATATTTGCAGGATACAATAGGCTTCATAATTAGGAATTCTGCTGTGCTTCCTTTCATCTGATTACCTAAATATAAGCTATGGCCTGAGTTCTTTTCTTTTCTTATTAAACGCTGTTCTAGGTGTCTCGTCTTCCACATGTTTATTATTGGCTTTAAGATACTTTTGGCCATTTAGGCTGAAGTTTGCAGAAACACAGAATCGGCAGGCAGATCCCATATTTGCAATGCTGAGCAAAGATGCTTGCACAGCACGTTCCTTCTGTTAACAGGCAATCCACACTGTCCCGCCGTCGTACCAGACCCACACAGGTGTCGACTGCCCACTTTAAAATAGTTTTAATTTTTCAAGTAAGGCCTAAACCCCTAGCAACCTGTATTAGACACTTCCTCAAGCTTACTTAATCCCTACACTTTATCTATGAAAGGGTTTTAAACATTAACCGGTCTTTCCCCTTTCACATTTCCCAGCTGGACTCTGACGGGATAACACATGCTCGACAGATCCTTTCATGCAACACGTGAAATGAGCCGAGATGGCCCTCTGTAGACATCCCTGCTCCTGTGGGGATGACACCGCAGCCCTGGCTCGGGAGCGGAGGGCTCCTGGAGGTGAACAGCAGCCGGGGAAACCCTGCGGGCAGCAGCACCAGGGCTGGGGTGGGCAGCGGCGGGCTGAGCCGAGGCAGCAGATGCATGGAGAGCTCTGCACTCTCACACCTCGCAGACATCTTTGCTCGATCTAGGACAAATCGCTCAAAACACACATGGAAGTGCGAGTTTGGAAACTAAGACCTGCGCTACGTCTCCACCGCGCCTCCCAGCTTCATCCTGCGGCGCTTACCGAAGAGCCCCGCTAGTAAAAGCCCTCCAAATCCAGCAGACTGTGCTGGACCCCTGTCAAAGGGCTACGTTTACACCAGAAGTGATAGGTGATGATCTTTAAAAATGCCCCTGGATACCCCCATGACATCCCTCAGCTGCTCCAAGCATTGAATTAAGCCCCTCATTCAGTAGCTAAATTTTCTAATGCGTTATGAAATCTCATCTTTTACTGGCAACACAGAAACACACAAAGCAGCAACAAAAAATACTCCTATTACTTCAACTTTTAAAAATGAGCCTAAGAAGCTAACAGAGAAAGATACTGTATAAACAAAATTATTTAATTGCAATACGTGAAAGAGAAGGCAGGTCTTACTGAAGTGGAGCAGCAGACAGCATGATGGAACAAAATTCCTCAAAGCAATAGCATATAAATATTGAACGAAATGCAGAAGTTGACTCTGCAGATGGCTCTGGAAAAAAGCAGCCGCTCTGGCTGCAAATACACTTCAGAGAATACACTGCAAAAACTGGAAATCCAGAAAGCTAAGGGGGAAATCAGTGAATAATCTGCTAGAAGGAAATCCCCAGCTTCCACGATCAACTGTGGGGATTAGAAAGACATTTCCAAATCAGCAAGGTGCAGGCTGGGACAGACGGGTGAATTTTAGGATTATTTTTTTCCCCCTCAGCGTTACATACTACCAAGCCAGGGAAATACTTACTGCCTGCCTTTGCACGCCAATTTAGATGTTTAATTTAGGATGTTAATCTCTCTGCAAAATGATTTAATATCATCTTTGTAACCATTACTTACTTCCAGAGGCCTTTGCAAACGGCATTTCTAATAGATTTAAAGATATGATTGCCAATCAAGAGAGCTACATCAAGTCAGTTTGTTTCTTGCCTTTTGCTCGGAGAACCAGCTGCACGATTCAGTCACAAAAGCTTCAGGAGCAAAGCTAGAGAGGATTTTGTTAATCTGGATTTGTGAGCCCCAAGCTACTGGCTTAAAAATCCATGATGAATCTGTGTCACCATGTTATTTCCTTCTCCCTTGGGAAAACAAAGGATGTATATATGCAGAAAATCAGGATTATTCCCCTTATCTGTAAGAAGTTACCAAGAGGAAATAGAGGAGGGGAACTTGCCACCACCTTACCCAGATAACCAAACCACCCCACAAGCGGCAGCTTTCTATGATTTGCAGAGTGTTGAAAAGCAACATATATAAAAAAAATGCATAGTAACCAACACCCCCAGACCAGACACACGTGTGCAATGTTTCTGTGGGTTGCCAAGGCAAGCGAATCGCAGAGGCTGAGAGCAAGGCTATGGCAGCGAGACGCGAGTGAAAGGAAACGCTATGTCCTTCACAGGACAGCACTTCCAGGAGTCGGCAGGCTTTCATCCGACAGGCTGAGCACTCACAACCTCTCTTCATCCGGTATATCCAGTGCTATCCTTTTCAGCAGGCTGAGACAGAGGGTACCCGTGTGAGCCTGACAACACCTCCAAAGGGGTGATGTTTAACACAGAGAATTGGGAAATTTTCGTGCAAGCAGCACTTTTCATCCACAGAACTGGAAGTGCTTGAACATGTGCAACCAACAGTAATCAGATCTTTCATACAGACTAACTAGCCAAGAAGCATCAAGTTCCCACCTCCACAAACAGATTTCCTTAACTTCCTTCGAAGGAACAGCTATCTTGGAGTGTACCGGGACCAGAGGACTCTCCGAAAGATAGATAGCAAGTAAGCAGGGGAGTGGGGAATGACCTCCAGCCGCCCTGCTGCCCTCATCACTGGGCACCATGACGCCCACAACACGTACAAGTTTACAAAATAAGAAGCCATACGGAAATCAATTCTTAAATGCACAATACGATTAATCCGAGATGGAGACTGAGCAATACAAGCAGGTTTGTCACCGCGCCTTGTACCAACAAAGATTTCAGGCTTTCAAATCTAGCACTTTCCTCGTCCTCAGGAAATACCTCTCCTATGTGTTAAAATCACAACGAAACACAAAGTATTTAAACATAATACTAAGAATATCAGAGATTAGTACAATGAACAGTATGGTTAGAATTGCAGAATTGTTAATGTAAATTAAAATGCTTTGCCAGTAATCACATGCTTTCCTGACTGAGCCACGTGGCTTTTCTTCTCCGCTGCGTGCCAGCCCTGCAAAGCTGTACAGCTGGTCCCAGGGGTGCACGGCCCTGCGGGGGAGAGGACGGGTGCCATGAAGCTACTCTGGTCTCAGATGTGCTCGGGGAAACTGCCAGACATACAGAAATCTCTGCACTGAGCAAGTGGACGAGGGCCAGTTCTCCCGTTGTACACAGCAATTTGCAGGGACAAGCAGAGAGAGGTGACCCAGCGAGATGCCGTGCCCAGCCTGCCTTGCCTTTTCTGGAACATCCCCTCGGAGGGACCCTGCATGGGGCCGGCATGAGTGGGACAGGCAGTTCAGCAGCAAACACCCACAGCCCTACAAAGAGTTGATGTCCTTCTCTGGCCATTCCTGGAGCCCGGTGACGTGCGTGACACCACGGCTCACAGGGTCCCCTCAGCAAGCGCTCAGGCACTCCACGATTTGGGGAAACCGCTGGTAAAACATATTCATGTAAAACCACTCCAAATCCCTGCTCCTCACAGCCTGAGAGCATTTTGGTGAAGAGGGTAACTGAGAGGGGACAAGAAAAACTGTAGGGACTGAATACCACTGAGACAATAAAATTAGATCCAGTATTTAATCACCTTTTCCAATAACTGTTTCATTTTTTGGAGAAGTATTTCTGAGAGATTTCTACATTTCTTCACAATGAACAGGTGGTGATGAAAGATTTTGTCTAGACAGAAGTTAAAGTTTCAATTTTTAAAATTAAGTTCTACACAGTGAAAAAAACCAAAATCAACACAGTGTTATTTTTGTCTTAAATCTTTAAAAAAAAACCCCAAAACAAACAAAGCTTAAAAAAAAAAACCCAAAACAACCAAACTTCATTATTTTGGAAATACAGTCTATTGTAAAGTAAATATTTTAAATATTAAACAACAGTAAAGATCACTTTGTGGAGATGAAATGAGCAACATCAGGGGTTTTTATAAACTGTCTCTCAATACTGCTAGGACCTGGGTAGCTGCTGTTCAGGACTAACAGCATACAGCATATTTGGTGCAGTGTAGATATTTTTTTGGTAGAATATAATTATTTACTGTCATAGTAGAAGATGCAAGTAGCTGATATTTCATGGGGCACCCTCCCAAGAACAATCCTGAGGCAAGAGCAACTCCACTGTCAGATGAGACACTGGAGGGAGGAACAGCCGGGCGCCCTGCAGACCTGCAGTTGTGTCGTTGCCCCACTTGAGACCTTCTTGCAGGTTTTTCTTTTCCATCAGGAGCCTTGCCGTTTACAAATGCTTCTTCTTTTTTATTGCCTCTGCCCTGACAGCCAAGCTCTTGGCACAGACGGTCAGGACAACGATGAGGACTCCAACCAGGAACGTAACCAGAGGCCAGAGGAAGCAGTGCAAGAGGACAGTCTCATCATGGGTGCGCTTCAGCATCACATCATCTGGCCTACAAAGAGGAGGAACAGGAGAGGGAGAAAATATAAATCAACCTGACATAATCAATTCATCATAAGTGGAAAGCATCTGCCATGGAAACAATAAAGGTGTTTTATTTGCAACAGTGTTAGAAAATGATCAAATGGACCATTTAATTCACTGCTTTCATTTGCCCATCTATCACCAGCACTCGTGGCAGGCCACGAGGGCTTTCCACTCACAGCGTTTACAGGCTAACAAGTTCATTCAGATAAAAAAAATAAAAAAAGCATTGGTACTTTAGGTCTTCCAGGGGTCGTGGTCATCACAAACAGCCGTGAGAGATACAATATCACACTGTGGATTGAAAAACCACTCCAGTGAAAACATAATCCAAGGCAGCAGTTATACATATCTACCTCAAGTGGCATCAGACACTGCGCAATGAGTTTAAAGTGCAATTAAAACTTCCCTTTTAGCTTTGAGCCCTGATGTGTCCATGGGGCTCCATGGAGGCTCCTGACGAAGCCCTGGCTGTGGTTTGGGTCTGGATGGAGACCCAGTCCCTGTCCTCAGCGCTGCACCACTGGTGGCCCAGGCTAGCCCAGCCACACCAGCAGGCAGGGGTCTGCACATAACCTACCCCCAGGAGGACTCCTGCCTGGCCCTGGGGTGCCAGAGGCTCCCGACTCAGCTCCTTTCCAGCAGAGGCTACTTGAGCAATAAGCTGCGATTTGGTACTGCAAACACCAGCTGCTCAGTGGACTTGAGTACGCTCTTACAGGGACACTTTGGGGAGCCCCCCCTGAAGATCTGAACCCCCATGCCTCCACCAACAGCATCTAATACACTGTCACAGTTAGGTCTGTGACGGATTTATGCATTTCCAAAGGGAAATGGAGGGAGGAGAATAGCAAGGAGGAGACATCTCAAGAGGCCTGGAAATTCAGCCGTGCCACATGGCTGAAAGATCAGGTGTCCATCTGCCTCTTCCAGGTCTGGGAAGCTGGTTGGGAAATCTGATGGCAGGTTTTCCTCAGCTCTGGCTCTTTCTGCTCTCCCTGAAGTTTAACAGAGTTATTAAATCAGTCTCGTGGCATTTGCACTTTGCTGCTGCTTTTCCATCTACAGCTAGAGACACACAGTCTGCTGGAAAACTGTCTGCAAAGGAAGGAAACAGAACTTTCTCTAATTAGGAAAATACATATAGTCTTGACTCATATTGGTCCTCACTTACATTGAACACCCCATCCCACATTGCTTCATCGCTACCTGTCGCTCCTTGGAGCAACAAACCTCACAGCCTAAAATCCTGGCAACCCAGGCTTATCCAGCCAGGTCCTGGGAATTAAGCTCTCCTAATGTGGTGGCACATGGGAACAGATACCTGTGCAATGACTGTGCTGTCTCTCCCCCAACAGCATCATGCTAAATAGAAAGCAGCACTAAGAAAATATTCCCTGTAGGGGAAACAAGAAGAAACTCTTTTTCCTTTACCAAGAAGTTAATTAATGGAGATGTCTGCAAATCTACAGGGTTTTATCCATCCTTAAGGAGTCAGTGGAGCCAGACAGCCAGGCTACACCTGATCCCAAATTTAATTGCATCCGCATTTGCATTTGGGGGTCTCTCCCCCAAAATTGCTGTGTGGACGTTCCTCTGCACCGTGCCGGCCTGCAAGTCCCTGAGGCCGGCACCACACACCTCTCTTTATTTGTGTAGTAAGGAGCAGAATAAGACTCTGATTACGAACAGCTCAGCTATATAAAAGTTGAAACTCGGCAACATAAAAAATGATCAAAAGAAACCCAGGTGTATTCAATAGTGGAACATGTGAAGTCTGCTCAACTGAAATCCTCCAGACACATAATCAGGCACAAGTGGAGACCATAAATTGAATAAAATAATACTAACTTTATAGGCACAAACTCACCAGTCTATGCCATAGAAGTGGCAGCACCCAAACAGAAAAATCTGTTTACAAGAGGTATAATACTGTTTCCTTCATACTTACTGTATCATCATCTGTGAATAACAGAGTGCTAATTGGCAAGGAGGTCATAAGTAGGCAGCATTCAATCCTTGTAGCTCTCAGCTTACAAGTGACATTGAATTTTAAGTATTTTTTTTTAAGTGGATACTACTCAAAGAGTTAAAAATTAAGGGGCAAGCAAACAAGCTAGAAAATTGGATTCAGTTAAAGAAAAGAAAGTGTGGTTGGGGAGAGCAAGATATCCTTTTGACTGAATCTCAGATATTTTGGAAAACATCTGTACCAAAGGCAGCAGCGATGGATGCCAAACACTCATTATAGGTGCGACTGTAACTCTTGCAACGTAGCAATTTAAAAGAGTTTTCCTTTTGGAAAAGAGTCAAAGACTTACAGAGGCCTTTAATGAAGCTTCAGGATGAGGTTTGGGTTCAGATGGATATTACTGCTATTCTTAGCTACAGCAGGAGTCCCTGTGCAATTCCTACATGGCAGAAGGTGTGCAGCAATTCACTGTCAACTGCTCACAGCATCTCTTCAGACAATGCATCAAGTCATGACTGGGTCCCCAAAAAATATGTCATTAAATGACTTATTGGCACCACATTTAAGACATTAAATGCCTTTTTTTAGTCGAGGGGAGGGAGAAGCACTCCTGGAGGGTGACCCAGTGCATGGGAGAGCTCAGGGACCCTCTGGGATGTAGCCTCTCGGTACTGACTCTTGGTGCCAAAAATGGTAGGACAAATCACAGCCTTGCTCCTACTTGGTTTAATCTGCGTGGTTATTCTGGAATTGCTACCGTGCTTTCAGCTGCTCTTTATCTTATCCCAAATTAACTTTCCAGTGCAGATAAGCACTGCTGGACCCCAGGAGTAAATGAGAAAAGCTAATAAAGGCAGACAGCAGATAAACTGCATGCTCCTGGATGGCAGCCTCCCGGCTATCTGCCTGTAACAGCCCATGGAAACTTATCAAGATCAAGTTTGGCAGTGCATAATGCTGTTTCTTTGCATTTGTATGATTCTCTCTCTCTCCCATCGGGACCAGCTCCTCTTTCCTGCGTCTGCTGACCCGCATGGAGGTGTCGCAGAGCATAGGGGAGAGCACTGGGGAGCGCTGGGGCAGCAGGAGGAGGCAGTGGAGGACGGGAGACTGGGCTCAGTGGTGCCCAGTTGAGGAGCCTTTCCCTGCAGATCCATCACTGGAGCTGACAGCAGTTATGGAAAGTGCTCTGGAAAACAGCTTAGAGGGTGTAACAGCAGCAGAGGGTCCCACTGAGACGCAGCTTTTACAGCAGAGGGAAATACCTGAAGAGGGGTTATTGAAAAAGAAAATGTTTACTATTTTCCTTTAAGGATAACTCCTTTCACCTCTGCTTTTTGGTGCTGAGATTGCAAACAATGGCAAATAACGGCTTCCAAAGCAAGGAGGGAAAGTCAGCCCTGCTGCACTCTCACAACGCGCTGCACGAGACCCCAAGCCCACTGCCCTGGTACCGTAGCACTGGGCTGGTGCTGACAGGGAACCCATGCAGCCGAGCTGGCCAACACCACCTGAGAAGGACCATCCAGGCAGAGGAAAACACCCCTGACCAGGAAGAACACCCCAGTGGCACATGGGTTATACTGGACTTGCAAGTCCATGGCGAGAGCAGCCCCAGGAATGGGGGCTGGGCAGCCAGA